CCACTGACAAAGAGCAAATTAAAATATACCAAGAAAGAAAAGCTTAGATAGTTCAAGGATCGCTGGCCTATAAGAGTGTTTTCCAATCCAGTCTGTTGGGGCACCATGCCCTGTCCCCAACTCTTTTAAGGGAGTAAAAAATCTCATTTTCCTTCTATAGACCACCTGGTGGTTTGAGACTGCTGAACTTAGGGTCAGCAGCCCAACACGTACCCACTAAGCTACAAGAGCAAAATGAAGCTCAATAAATGCAGTCTGATGAACATGCTTGCTTATTTAATGTCTCAGGGCCATCTCCATGCCATTCCATGTTGCAAACAATGGACATATCTTCAGTTATGTCTCCCTTTGAAATGTTTGCCTTTGGAGAAATTACTGTGTTTTAGGGGTCATCACTGTTTTCTGTACCCACATCTATTATATCAGACTGATGTTTGAGTTTATCTCTCCTAAATAAACTGAGAGAGAGCCCAGGGACTTAATTGACTCTGATCAGTACCCCAGCAGTCAAGGAGGAACCGAGAACAAAGGACAGAAAGGGAGAGATGAGCTCAGAGAGTCTACCTAGAGTTGGATCATCTAGTTGGGCTAGGCTCTCCGAAAGAGATCTGAAGGAAATACACTTTGCAATTTGACTTAAAGCACAGACAAACCAACTGAACATGGAAACGAAGACCAGAAGACAAATACAAGAAAGAAGTTTCTAGAGTATAAGGAGATGCAAGGAGACAATATTTTAGATTGAAAGTTAAATAGATGCTTGAAAATCCCACTGAAATTAAGTTCAATCCAACTCATAACTCCCTTATAGAGCCAGGTGTAACTGCCTCTGGGTTTCCAATCTTGTAATTTTACAGGAGTAGACAGCCCCTGTTTCTCCCTTGGAGCAGCTGGTGGTCTCAATGGCAGCATGATGCATAGCTCACCACACCACCAGGGCCCCCTAAACAGATACTCTGAGGTAAACAAATAATTGGAGATTTCATTAATTAGGATTCATAGAGTTACTAGTGGCCGAAACTCAACTCAAACTAATCCAAGTTATACCTATATATATTGCCTCAAATAAATGAGGAATTCCAGTTCCAGTTAGACTGAGGGGCTCAATGCTATTCTCAGAATAGCTCAGAGTCCTGGAGGACAAGACCACCTCTACCCTTGACCCTCCACCCAATCCCAATAGGATTCTATCTTGTTGGGCCAGCTTAGCTCCCATGCTGACTCCAAACACACCAAACAAACCTGGAACATGGGGTCCACGAGTTGGATTCACTTTAACTCTCTGTTGCTGAGCTGGAAAAAGCAGAGACTCCCTAGGAAAGGTAGATATTATGAACAGGTAAAAGGGTTGTTGGTGTAGGGTTGGTATGCGTAAAATTCAGAATACTGCATCCCACTCCTGTGTATTACATGTTGGAAAACTGAGACAGTGAAAGAGAGGGGACTAACCCATGGCATAGTGCTAAGTAGAGACCAACCATAACTCAATTTAAAAACAAACAAACAAACCTGAGACACGACATCCCTCACTGACCCATAGCCCTACAGGGGACAACACTGGAGACAGTGTGGAAATTGCACCCGATATTATCCTACCA